AAGGATGCTAAGGATATCATGGACCAAGCATGTAAGCAATGATGAGATCTTCGAGAGGTTGCAAACAAGGAGAAGGTTTATCATCATAAAGAGAAGTTTCTGGGACACATAATGAGGAAGAAGGGACTGGAGAATCTGATACTCATGGGTCAAATGGAGGGAAAGAGAGACAAGTGAAAGCAGCATCTGACATACCTGACAAACTTGAGCAGGTGGATGACATAATGTGGTCTGGGAGAGGAAGCAGAGGGAAGGAGCTTGCTGAGTGCTGTAAGGGATAGAGGGAGGTGGAGAGCCATGATCGCCTACATCCTGAAAGGACATGGCACATAAAAAGAAATTCTACAGACATTTTTAGCTGCATAACCTTTTAACAAAAATTTAATATCTCCAACAGGTTCAGTATTTTTTAATCTGACCAAAGCATAAGCAAATTTTAATCAAATGTACTGATTCTACCGTAAAAGACATAAAAAGTTATTGTTGTCAGTGGATAACTTCAACCTGCAGTAAAGGAAGTGCTTGAAAAAAGAAAAATAACCTTTTTGGTTTTGAAACAAATATTAGAATCATAAATATGAGCAGTGACTAATTTTTAATAACATAACTTGGTGTTAACTACTAATAATTCATTGAAGGTAATAAAGAAAACAATATAAAAAAATATAAAAAAAAGTATTATGCATAAAATTAAGAAAAACATCTTTTTAGTAAGATTTTTCCATAATTTTTACAAATAGCTTCAGTGCAGTCAATATTACAAAGGATTATTTTATGTCAAACAACAATTTTCTTCTAATATATATATATATATATATATATATATGTAATTAGGGATATTTAAGCAAGTCTGTTCTACTTAAAAGAAAGACACTTATTTGAAATAGCTGGATACTAAACACTCAGTCATATTAATTATATTTTATATGTATTCACACACAACATCTGAGAAGTATGTAACTGGTCTATTGACTTTATTCTATTAATTGTAAATCATTGAATTAAAGATTGAAAGGCTACCCATTGCCTTAATTCTTTCTTATATAGACAGTGGTGCCTTACTGACAGAGTAATAATTGTTTATTTGCTTATTTTGAGGTGAACCAACAGACACATGTGTTCAGAGAAATGTGTTCAAAGAAAGACACTGGACCTGACAGAGTAACAGGAAGGATCCTGAAAGAATGTGCCAACCAACTCTCTGGGACCTTTATGAAAATATTTAACCTTTGTTGAAATATATTATACCATCCTGTTTGAAGTCAACCATCATTATCCCCTTGTCCCTGCACCTTTTCTCCTCCACTCATGTTCAGCACTCATGCTTCACAGAGATGTATATTAAGCACAATTCTGTACTCCATATACACTTGTGATTGTTTCCTTATCCATCCCATGAACACAATCATTAATTTTGCATATGATACTAAAATGGTTGGACTCATATCAGGAATAGATGAATGGAGCTCAGAGAATAACCTTGTTTTAACAAACACCTTAAAGAAGCTGGGGTGAACTTTCAGAGAAATACCACAGTACCTTTGGTTATTGGCATGGTTTGTGTGGTGTGGTTGGATAAAATTAAGCTTCTGGGTACATGTTTTGCAGAGGATCTCTCTTAGGCTAGAATTACCATTACAATAGTCAAGAAAGTACAACAGTTATTTACTGAGAATTCTCAGAAAAAATAATTTACAAAGGGAGCTGTTGATGACTTATTGCTATTCTATTGAGAGTGTATTAGCATACTGTATCATGGTTTAGTATGCCAGCTGCTCAGCAGTGGACATGAGAGCTCTCCAAAGTATTATAGATGTTGTCCAGAAAATAATCAGCTGCTCCCTCCTGGGAGGTCATTGCTAAATTTTGTCGTTACAGTAAAACAGAAAACAAAAGACAGCACAAATCCACTTGCTACCACTTGTTTGAACTGTTACCCTAAGGGCAATGTTTTAGTTTTATTAGTTCTAAGACTAAGCACTTGAGGGATAGCTTTTATCCTTGGGCCCTGCATAAAATGAACATTGTCACATGCTGACAATTTTCAATATATTTTAAACATTATTACTTCTCTCTGTGCATGTGTTTGCTTTCATCTGGATTGTGTGTGTGTATGTGTGTGTTGGTGCACCTGGGGACTACTGTCCAGTTTCATTGTACATTATAGTGTCAAGAAGAATAAATAAATAATGTTCATTACATTATGAATCAAGAATATTCTACAAGCTGGTGATAATATCAATTATTTAAATATCTTTTGAGGATGCAAATTTTTAATATAACTTTAAAGACAGACCTCTTAAAAGCAATATAGGAATGAGGAACAAGATAAATAAAAAAAATGAAAAGTATATAATTATCATAAAGCAGGTAAAGTGAAAAAGGAAAATAAAATAAAAAGCTAACTGCTCCTCTCTCTTCAGAGCTCTATATAATAATAATAATAATAATAATAATAATAATAATGGCAGCTTGTATCCTAGTATGCCTGTCTACTTGAGCGGCTAGCCAATCCTTTTTGCAGACACCTGCTCAAACGCATTTGTGATTGTTCAACACCCACAGAGCCCAACTGTGGTTTATACTTCAACTACACATAGCATACCTTAGTTACAGTTTCTAGAAGAGCACATGTCTGAACAAGGCCAGTATGCTCAAATCATCGGTCATGATAACTTATGACTTTGTGCTAGCATAACCAATCATGGCTCCCAAATAGTACTGTCTACCCAATTTCACAAACAAAATCTATGTTCGCTACGTAGACGATATCTTCATTTTAGCTGATAACATTAAAGAAATAGAGACACTTAAGACCACATTTGAGAAAAACTCCATCCTTAAATTCACATATGAACTTAGCCAAAAAAACAAACTACCATTCTTAGATATCCTCGTCGAACACAACAATAACACTTTCATTACATCATTATACAAAAAATTTTTCAAAAACTCGTGCCACCTTAATTTCAAAAGCGAATGCCCACTTAGGTACAAAATAGCCAAGGTAAAAAACTTTCTAAATAGAGCCCACCAGAACTCATCCTCCCGACTACTCTTTCTCAAAGAACTTAACAACGTTAAACAAACACTAATTAACAATGGTTTCCCTAACTACCTTATAGACCAACAAATTAGACTATTCCTCCCCAAAGCAAGTAATAACGATAGCAAACACACAACTAAAAATCACATACACATTTATTACAAAAACCAAATGCATATTAATTACAAACAAGACTTGGATCGACCCGTGATATGGTTTACAAGCACAAGCACTACATGCTGTGAACACCTCCCCAGATTGATAACATCAAGAAGTGCTTAAAGAGGAGAGACTTTAGATAATTTTGCAAAAAATACTTCAAACTCAGCAAAATATTCTCTTTTTTATTAAAAGCAGATTAAATTAAGATCCAAAATTCACTCCATCTGGCTACAGAGAGAGGCCTGTAAGAATTTTATATATTTCTTTCTATTTGTTTAAATAAAATCCTGGTACTGTTAGTACAAGATTTGCTAAACAAATTTCTAACAGTGTGAAACATTGTTCTTTCTCTGACAATCTTGTAATGTCTTTATTACAAGTTCAAATATCAGTGTAACACCAGAACTAAAAGTAGGAAATAAAAAATATATCTGCAATTACCTGCCAAAATTCAAAAAGGTAATGTAATAATTAACATAAATATGTTAATAAGGCACATTCAAAATTTCATCTAAGTGTTTGAAATAGTATATATTAAAATCCCTACTACCCTGCTTCTGTAAGCAGAATTTTAAAATCTTAATGCAATCTGCCTTTTGTATATACGTTTGAACATTATTCCATCATTACTGATTTTGGTATCCCCTTTCTTTATTTTAATCACTATGCAATTTTTTCATTCCTCAGTTTGAGCTCTGAAAAATGAGAAACAACAACATTAGCTTCTTTTTTTTTGCTCTTTTATATCATTTACCTTTTCATTGTTTCAATTTACCTTCTTTACAGCAATTATTTTTCTTTTTCCCTTTCCTCACTCTTCATTCTCCTATTTTATTTGTCCTGCTTTTAATGTGTCTATTTTGATTCAGTAGTTAAAAAATTTGTATATTTTATATTGTGCATGAACCACACTTAAACTTACTTTTGATAATTTTCAACAAAAGAGAAAATAATTTTCATATGATTTATAACAATTTTAAAAAATACATACTTTACAATATAAATTTAAAGAAATGTATGTTATTTGAAATAATTATCTGTCCTCTGTGATATCTATTTATCATAAAATTCGCCATGTAGTATATTATGACACATTTCAAAATAGATTACATTTGAAATAGTAAATTGTAAGAAATAGAAAGTGGCTATCATTTCTTAAGGTAGTAAATTCTAAAAACCTGCAGATATTCTTTAAAAATGTGCAATGCAGCTTGATTATGCAATGACATTCTATATAATTTCTGTAGTCAAACAATTTTATAGCCAAAAAATAAATTAAAATTTTCAATCAAAACAATCCAAATTACAGATTAAAATTTTCTCTTAAGCAAAGGTTTAATACACACACATATATATATATATATATATATATATATATATATATATATATATATATATCAGATGAAGTATACTGTAGAAGAAACAAAATGAATGAAAAGACAAGAGAAAAACTATACTTAGTTTAGCCAATGTGTTTTGTCATTCAACAGACTCAAGGCAAATGTGATGGTTTTATTTTGCAACAGGTATATATTTTACTGTTAAATTTCTTAAATTTGGAATTTGAGTAACTGTAAAATATACACTTGTTGCAAAATAAAACTATCACATTTGCATTGATAAAGTCTGTCAAATGACAAAACACATTAAATATAGTTTTCCTTTTGTCTTTTCATTCATATATACATATATGAAATTTAAATCAACAACTCAATTTGCATTCATTGCTATTTTTATAGCCCTCTGTTTTATTAAATATGTCACTTAAAAAAGAAAGAGTTGCCTTATTTACCTTTTCTTGCAAGAGTTTACATGACTGTCTGTTGCCACTTTTGTCTGGCTTTGATTCTTCAACTTGTGTCCAAGGAAAAACTGCAGAGAATGTATCTGGATTCTCCAAAGAAAAGTTTGGCAGCATAAAAATCTAAAATTAAAAAAAAAAAAAAAAAAACACAAGTTAAAATAACAGTTATAAAAGGATAGGTATTACCTGAAAGGAAAAATTACTGAATTTTATAAAAGACTTTCTTAAATTACACTTTTGTTTGTTTCTGCTCGATATGAAGTTACTTCCTATTTGTAAAATTTATATTACAATTATTAACAAACGTTAATTATCACTAAGCTGTAATTAGTAGTTAATAAAGTTAAGGTTATCCCCCTTGAAAAGACTTTTTGAAAATAATATGAATAAATTTATACTTTATACTCATATGGGAACTGGTTTCCTAATTCATCTGGAAATTGCTTTACCCTTCAAGTTAGTGTATTTAAATGGAATAGTGCTATAAAAATTGCACTACAAGGTGCTGTTAGAGTATTAACCAACATCAGATCATAGTAACACTAATTTATGATGTATACAAAAGGAATATCTCTAAAAATATTTTAGAAAGTAAAATGATTTTAAAATCATTTTAATATTAGATATAAAAAAAAATCCTAATGATAGATGCTAATTTTATGCATTGAAAAAATTTAAATGAAATTCTAAGTATAAGTTTTATAAATAAAAAATACAATATTTTTCCTTAAAAACAAGGAACTCGATATTATATATCATAACAATCAAATATTTAATGTATTTATTTTTTTTTGCTTTATTCTTCAAAAAATTCCAATCAGATTATTCCCCCAACCTTCTGTGCCTTATGTACATCTGCTTACATAATCTATAGTCCAGGCCACTTTCAGTTATATAATCTATTCTACGGCCTATACAATTTAGTTTTCATGACTTCTTGCTAAATTGTAGTCTTAGCATAGCAGTTCTTTTCAATGTTTATTGCTTAGCATTTTTTTCATTATAATTTTATGCCTGTTAGTATAAGCTCATTCTAGTGATAGTCATTTTTGCAATTTGTGCAATTTCAAGTCATAATAAAAACAGTGTCAACCACAGATTGTAATGCATAAGAAGAACTGCCCAGCAGTAGACAACTTCATGAGATAAAAACAAGTTAACCTAAAGACTAAATAATTAATTGTTGTAAAAAAAAAAAAATTCCAAAAAAATAGGGACAATAAGAAGTGGAGGGGGTAATTGATTGGAGCAACTCATAATCTGACATTAACATTTGTTTCCTGTCATTGTTTATCTGTTCTCATATAAAAAAGAAAAAACATGAACCATTCATCTTTTTTTAACTGACCTTTTACAGATTTAGTAATTCTTAAATATATATTTTCTTCCATGAGAAGAGGCTATTACTATTTGTACTACAATTTGTAAATAGCAGTTTATTTATGCTAACATATTTTACTCTAGCAAAACAACATATATATAGCAGCATAACTAAAGGGTTGGGGATAAGGACAGTCCACACCAGGCAACACTTTTATGGAAGCAACAGTATAAGCTGTATTGAAATAAAAGCGGTTGGAACACTACTCACAGTTGAAAGACTTTTCAATTTCTAATAACTTAAACTATGGTATATGTATTTAAGTAGTTGTTATCTTGGCCGAACAATAAACATTATTCAATGAGGTATCCAGGGCTGTTCTATTATTATTGTTGACAATAGGAAACCTGTGAACGCATCCTTTTAATGTTGCAATATCACTGCATGTGGGAGACATTGTGGTTGTTATCATATAAATTTCAATTAATTTCCTTGACTGAAGTTAATCTTAGGGTACGTGTTGCTCTATTTTTCATCTTTTATATCTGATTAAATAAATTACAAACATTATGTCTGCTTATTTTTAGCATAATCCTTTCATATTCACAAATATTTTTCCATGTATTACAATCAAATGAGGCAAGAAATGCACTGTAACACTGAGTTTGCCTGGGTGTCACACACTCTAGCTAAGCCAATATATATTATCTGATATTTTTTGCCTGAATTTTTTAGGTAAGGAATGATAAGTATTATACATTGATTTGATCACCTTAATGTTCTCATTTTGGTTGTTTATTGCAATTGGTTACTTTCCACGAAATTTGAACTGAACCCTTTATTCAATCCATAAATATAACTTTTTCTCTTTCTACTCTCCATGTCAGAGGATATCTTCTATCAGTTAAATTTTCTTAATCTATCTTTGTAACATTACTTACATGCCTCTTCCAATCAGAGACTTTTCCCACTAGCCTAAAAAAAAAAAAAAAAAACCCTTTGGAAAGGTATGAATCCATCTCTACTCTCCCCAGCTATGGGCTGAATAGCAGGAAAAACTGGGTCTTATAGCCTTGATTGGCAACCTGCCTGTTAAACAAAGAAATGGTAACATACCTGCAAGAAAATATGCCTGGTCAAAAAAAAAAAAAAAAAAAAAAAAAAAAAATCACTTCACCCAGTCATGTATCACATATGATACTTAACTGACTGACCAAAAGATTGAATTCACAACCAACAGGTAACACAATTTGCTTAACCAACAAACTACTGGGTCATGTGACCCATTTGGTGAAATTAGAAACCTGAATGCAGACTGCTTATTTAAATGCCATGTAATATAAAATTATTTGAACATTGCTATAAAAAGCAATAAAAGAACAAAAAATAAATAAATAAAAAATTAAGAATGATAACTTACTCCAAGGTAGTAAGCAAACAATATTGATAATGAAGGAGGGGGGTATATAAATTTGAAATTCACTTGCAGATTGCCAGTAAAATTGCTTTGTCAGACAAGTTCCTAATGATATAGAACACAAGTTCAAAGTTTATCATCAAATATTTATTGTCCATATATGCTGCTTGCTTAAGAGTTATAGAATGTAAGATTAACAAAGTGATATGATAAATAATCAAATAAGACAAATTAGTTTGATGTTAATTATGATAATGCTTTATCTAAAAAATTCAGACAACTTGAGAAAAATTGTATCTTTTTATTTTTTTTTTAACATGTGAAAAATTGAATTTAAGTATCTATAAACAAAAACCACAAAATGTTTGTTTTTTGTTTTTTTTAATTTTCTATCATCTACTAGCCACAATGATGGAGAAAGCATTTACCTCATACCATTGCCAGTGAGACACACTGCAAGAGCCACTCCATTTTACAAGGCTCATCCTTTAATTGAGACGCCATCCCACCAACCCTCAAAAGGAATGTCATCAAACAAGGACCAATAACCCCAGAAGTCTCTATTGCCACAGGGGTAAAAATAAATCTGTCCACAAGAAGAATATTTAACTATTTTTTTTCCTCTGCATCCCAAGCAACAGACCCCAGTTCAACCACAGACCTGATCAAATTACCAGTCAAAAATGTATCAGCACAGGTTGCATCCCAAATCAATGACTTCCCTATTTCAAAAGGGAAAATGGTAATCCTATCTGGTCACTTTCCATCACCATGGTCGAGGCCTATGTGTTCAATTTGGGAAAGGAAATAAAAATCAGTAAGAAAAAAAAAATATTCACACAAATGTTCTAACTTAATGCTATTTGAATTTCTAAGATTATATGTTTTCAGTTCAATATATTAGCTACTTTTTTCTTCTTTGTGTTGCTGAAATCTCCTAGAAAAAGTTTGCATTTAATAATCCTGATAATAGCTATTTTATATTTTCCTACAATTTTAGGATCACTTTAAGTCTTTATAGCGATCATATGAATATACTCCTCACTAAAGCCGTCAAAGGCAGAAGATGTTTAATTGTAGATCATAATTTATGGTAAGTTAAAGGAACTAGAAAAAACAAAAATTAATTTAATTTATTAATAATTAAAATATTGTTCATTCATATGAATTCATAATTTTTAAAGGTATTACTGCCAAATCTGTCATGATGCATAAATTTTTGTCAAATATTACTTTAAAAAGTGATATTTACAGCTTCACATCATCTTAGCTCTGGACTTATCTGTCCCAATACAACCAGATAATCTGTGTATGCACTCTATAAAAAAAAAGAGAGTTTACAAAATTCATTGAATGATTAACAGTTTTGTTGAAGTTTGATGTTTTCAATCTTACAAGTAATCACTTTAACATCTAACCTGATGTGGGATGGGTTGGAATTAAGTGAACCTAATTTTATTTGTTTTCCTTCTAAATGTTTCTTTGTTTTATTCCAAAATTAACTTTTCCATGTTGTACAAAATAAGAAAATGACTTTAAATTAAAGCAGAAAAACCTGGGAGTATTAAAGAAAATCTTAACTATTTAAGCAATTTAAAAAAATAAATATCATTGTCATTATACTTACTTTAGGTACTTGGTCTAAGTCAGCTCGATTTTTTTCTGTAAAATAAAAGATATTTTCAAATTTAATATGTCTTATAAAAAGTGTTCAGTAGCATTCAATATAAATTTAAAATATTTAATAATTTTTCATAATATTAAAAAAAAAATTTAATAACTTAAATTATATCTACATAATAAAAAACTTAAACCATTTTTCCAACTGATTCCTAAAATAAAAAATAAAAATTTGATCTAATGATTATTATCTTACTTTTGGACAAAATATGCAAGACTTACTCCAAAAGTAATGTTTTCCATTTTATTATATTGACCCACAACATGAGAGAGAGATGTTAGTGTTATGACTGGAGAGACTGTACCCTCCTACCAATAACACAATTTTTTTCTGCTTGCAATATGATAAAGCCAAATTCCACACTAGATTGAAGACCACACAATGTTGCTGAAATGGCCTATACACCCACTGTATAATCTGGATGTAGCTACTTTCATCTGTTCAGGCCAATGAAAGATGACCTACTCAAATATATTCCTGGAAACAATGCAGTCATTAGTGTTGTAAAAAAAGTAGGTAGGTGATGCAGAATTGCATCACCCACCTACTTTTTTTTACAACACTAATGATTGCATGTCATGTTGGCTTTTGTTCATTGGCAAAATATTCATTATCAAATGATTAAGACTATGTGAAAAAAAATAGTGTTTTGTAGCTGAAAATTTGCTCTATCCAACCACATTATGATGTTTCTGTGTATGTTGTAGTAGCCATGTAATTAATCAGGAGACATTACTTTCATATCATCACTCATACTTTTACTCAGAAAGAAAATATACATTGTTTAATTTCTGTCTGAATTTCTGTGATAAGGAGATAATTATTTACACTATTTATATTTGAACTATTGTCCTCATCTTTGTTGTTCCCTCCAGCCTTCCTTAGATGCATATTGATCTGGGTAACCTACACTGAATTCTAAACTGAACATTTTATTTAATTTACAGGGGTAAATGGTTCTCGTTCTACTGTCCAAGTCTATGAATATCTCATAGTTCTTATTAGTACTGCTCAGTATTGCTCACTTGTTTCCATTGAGTTCAAATATACACTGCCCAGCCCAGGGATTGAACTCCTAATTATTATGTTACCAAATTCACAAACCAATGCTTTAATCCACTAGACTATTGTTTAAACATTATCTTTATATAATAAAGATAATATTAACAATAACACTTCCCAGCTGTTTTAAATTCTAAAAGTCCTGTTTCATCACAGACATAAAAATTATGTAATAGATCAATGAAATAACTCATGCTTAATTGCTTCTTCCCACATAGTTAAAGTTGATTGTTTTTTTAATGATTAGAAAATTACTAAATATTACTATCTGAGTTTCATATTTATTACATATTAATAATTAACTATACTTACCGTTAAAAGATTATTTTTATGTCCCACTGAAAACATTCTAATATTTCAACCTGATAGTAATATTTTTAAAATAACCCAAGATATCTGAAAGCAAACTATTAAGAGGAATGCAAAAATGGAAATTTTCAAAATTGCACCTGCTGCAGTATTTTTTTTTATATATATAAATATATTATACAGATAATATCAACAATGTATGAAAATTTCAAAGCATGTAAGGAAACACCAAAAATGAGAAATCATACTCAAACACAGTATTTGTTAAAATGATACAAAACTGGAAAAATTGATATCTTTATTAAAACTGTTGCTTCAAAAGAATTTAAATTACAGTGTTACAGTTTGCCAATTCATGGAAAAAAGAAGTGTTTGTTTAAATGCTAGTGTTCAAACAGCTGGTAAATGTAGAAGAACTATAAATGAATTGATCGAACCAATTAAAACCACTTAATAAAATACCAATGATACAGGTTTTCTTAATATTGCAAACATGTATGGAGGATATCATGTAGTTAAATGCAAATCATTTTTAATATAATTAGGCATGAAAATTTTAGCATGAGAATTAGCTACTAAACAGCATTAAATGTAACAGAGATGTTATTTTAAATGCCAAAAGAAAATATTCAAATGCTTCTCAAAATTATTGATTTCAAACTCTGAATTAATAAATTATTTCATTGAGTTTTTCTTTTGTTTTTGAAAAATGTAAAAACTATCATGAGACAAAGGTACATTTTACAACCTCTGTCCTATATTTCTTACATTTGCATATACATTTCATAAACTAAATAGAACAACTATTTGGAGCTTAGAGATAAATTTCATACACTAAATGTGACAATTATTATAGGACAGAGTTAATAATATTTGTTTGAAACTGAAAATGTAATTCAAAGCAACAAAACAAACAACTTACCCATCTGTTTTATACATTTTAAAGGACGAGAATGCAATCTGTCTGTAAACTGTTGTTTTGCTATCAGTTCTATACTCTGTGTGTGAGTTTTGTATTTCTGCAAAAGAATTAAATTTTAAAATATAATATAAACTTTTTTGTAAACAAAAAAAAAAAAAAAAACAACAACAATATATTAAAAAATGACTTAATATCCCTACAGATCATAAATTACAATATTTTATTAAGAGGTGTATTTGTATTTAAAGACTATTGCTATTTGAATGATAACAAGACCTAAGTAAAACACAAGACAACTTTTAAATATTAAAATAGTTGTCATAACTTATATTTAGCCATAGATAACAACTCCATGATATTTACACCCACCACTAAGGCACTGAAAAATTTAAAGTGAGCAAAACAAGAAAAGAAAACAACAAAATGAAAAAAGCAAAAATTATTTCTCACAATGAATATTCACTTTCATAAAATTCCTGAAACTGAAGGATCATACCACTTTAATTAATAAATAATTCACTTGAATCCTTTAAACATTAACTTTATTTTCAGAATTTCTTATGTCATAAATTTGTAAATCTATTACATTTTTACATTGATAAAAATTGTAGCACATGATCTGTACTTTTGAAAAATATTAGTTAATTTGCTAGTAAGTAAGCCATTTTGAATTTTTACATTTTTTAAATTACATGAAACAAAAAGAAAAAGTTTGGACTAAATAATCTGATATTATGAACCAGCAATTGTATTCATACTGCCATATAGTGACTAATAAACCCAAAGTGTTGAAATTCCTATTGCAAAGATATGCTGCAGACTTCTCTGCCACCTACTTGTAAAGATGAATATTTTTGCCTAAATCAGTTGACCTAAAATTTGTTGGAATTGTTTGTATCCATGATGTGCAAAACATGATGTTAAATCAAATTGAACTATAATATATTGGGTTTAAAATGGTACTTTGTTAAACTTTTTTCTTTTTATAGGTTGGCTAGGTATATCAAAAATGTATTTCACTTTACCAGTTAATTAGTAATAAATATTCAGTAATAGTAGGTAAAACCATTTAGTGTTGTCCTTAAATATTGGTCAGTGCAAAGGGAAAATAAAATCAGTAAAATAACAAATTATGTATCACTATTACCATTATAATTATGTGCAAGAAAACTGAATATTCATTTTCTAAGATTATGCATGATATTAGACACTAAATGTCATGTTAACTTTTAATATGAAGTAAAATCTGTCATACATGAATCACAATGCCATGACATTTTTTAAAAAGGAAAATTATTTTTGCCATAATTCTTTTAAACAGCATCACATTACATGCATGAATTTATAAAACAGTTAGTTTTTGGAATCTTTTAATGCATTTTCTTCTGCAAGTCTCACATTCCAAATATTCAACAAACTGATTTTTAGTAACTTTGAAGTACAAAGAGAGGTAAATCTAAAGAAATATTTGAGTAATTAAAAACTTCCCAGGTGTATTAATATTAGCACAAACAGAATTTCAAAATAATGCAACAATAATTGTTCAACCAACATCCTATCATTTATTGTTTTGTTTATTGTATTCTCTTTAGTTATGACATTGAATGTTTGTCTGCCTATACATTTGGGAGGATCAAGTTGAAACAACACATAAGTGGCTAATAATAAAGATTGCAAACTAAGCATTTGTGTCTGTCTTTACAACTCAACAGAATTTCTTTTTTGACAATTAGTAAACTTAAATTATTTTGCAGCATATCAGGGACATTTTAAAAATCTGACCATCAAAATATCTCCTACTTTGTGAAGATTAATCTTGAGATTATATGAATCAGTCTAGTTTAACAGTCTGGCAATTTTAGAATATATATGGTATATTTTTCTACATATTTCAACTTAAATTTCGGGTGCATCTTATAAGCTGTAAAATACACTATATCTACACTATAATCAACAAATGTTAAATAAAATACCATGAAAACCAAAACACATAAATAGGTCTTCTCCATTGGTTTATATATTCTAGTGTCACACATATCAGGTGATTTTATAATGAAAAAAAAAAAAAATCACTGAGGTCTGATACTGTATACTTTAGCTGACTACAGTCTCAATCAATTTTTGTCCTTTACTACCATTACCATTACATCAATAAAAAGTGGTTACGATGTGTTTAATTTTCTCCAATAGTCCATTATGGTATTGCCACATTTTTTTCTGCTTATACTTCACTGTTAATTGAAGTATTGACTTTTACAACATTTATAATAGTATACATGGCTAAACTAGACTATTTATTCATTAAATACTATAAAAAAAAAAGTACAGGTTTTATGCTTTTTCTCATCTTATGTCTCTTATGCACTAGTTTATATTTCTGACTCTCCAAATAACACATAACAGGATTTTAAAAGTATTTTATGTAGCTTTATTAGCTATATATTTACTGTTTTATAAACAAACAAAAATTAAAGCCACAATTTTTTTAAAGAATTGTAATAATTACCATATTTTCATAAACCAACATTACTTTTCATTAATAAACCAAAATAAAGGTTACTGTTGCTTCTGCTATTATTATTACTAATAAAACATATTAAGTAACAGTAACAATAATTTATTAAGAATTCATTTTCAATTTAACTACTGTACTTTTTTACTTTTTCATTTTTGTTTTTTTTGCATAATCTTATACTTAACTGTGATGATTGAATTTTTTTCTTACTTTTAAAAAAATAAAATCAAAATAAAATTATGCAAAAAAAATAAATAAATAAGTAAATAGAATTATTAAATATTTATCTTCATTGACTTCACTGATCAGATAGTAAAAGAATAATTCTTATTCATTTCTATTCCACAGACATACAAAAAGACCCACCTAGTGATTTTAACATTTTCATATTTGCTGAAAAAGCAAAATAATCTTATTTTCAAAACAAATCAACCTTGTATTGTCTACAAGTTTCAAATGAGTCATTAACATTCCATGCCTTTTGAACAATGATTGTAGATGTAAATACTTCTTTATTTCCAACCACCAAAAATTAAAAACATGATAGATACAAAACAGATATAAATGAACATAAACACATCTGATTATTAAACAGCCATTTTTGTTACTATTTTGTGTGGAAAGTAAGAGGCATTTGAACAAGACTGGAGAATAGACTAGCCAAATCATTGTAACAACAATCATTAGTTGCCAAAGCTTGAAAATTAAATAAAATTTGACTTAATTTGACTTGCCATTATTACTCAAAACAACTTTATATTAAAAATAACATTAACAAAAAAACTACAGTTTATAATACTAAATGATACCCAAGTATATCTATAATACAACTGCATATCTGACAAAAACAATAGTTAGCAAGTTCATCTTAAAGACCAATCACAATGAATTTAATCCTTAATGGGTACTTCATAATTTGCATTTGGAGCTAGACTAAGGTAAAAGGGAATCAGTTTAATGTGATATATGGCTACAATAGTGTTAACAATTTGAGTTTAAATTCAGGTAAAAAAAATCAGAACTTTGAGCACTGGTTTTAAAGGCAAGCAATTTTTCACTTTCAAGATTGAAATAACAAAATATTCTTATTCACATCTGACCTTGCGCTGTATTCAGTTGAAGTTAATATTTATATTATTTGTCCTATTATAGTTGTTAGATTTTTAGTATATGAAATGTGTATGCAAATGTACCAACAATTATGAGACAGTAGCATTATATCTACATGTGAGTACATTTAACAATTTAGGGACTGACTTTATTGTTTATAGTAAATGACAAAATTCAGACCACACCAAATTAACAAGCACAAGTAATTTTTGTCTAAATGAAAGCAAATGTATAATTAATAGGATTTCAGCGTCATTCAAATCAGATTAGCCATAAAGTACTCAGCCTTTTACTAGAGTGGATTCCTAATATACTGATTATAGGTGATCTCAAATATTATAGATTTTTCTCATACATATTGTTAAAGAAAAACAATATAAAACTGAAAAAATATATCCTTACATACTATACAAAAAGGAATTATTACACCAAAAAGAAATCAAATATAAATAACTTTAACATTTTACTTTCAAAATGTTTTCATATTATATCTTTCAAATGTTTCATTACTATAAAGTAATGACACTGCACAATAATTCTTAATAAATATTGTTAAAGACATTTTGAATAAAAATCCTGATACTATCAAAGGAAATACCTTTATTTAACAGCTGAATAAAGCAAAGAAACAAAGAATCAAGTTTGAATAATAATCTCATATATCAATATCGTTTTCTGCATATAGAAGTTTACTCACACAATCTTAAAATTAACAAAAATAATTTTGCATATCAACATATTTTTAATAAAATAATTTGAAAAAAAAATAGCATGTTATATGTTCAAAATACAAAACTTATTTTCTCTGTACATAGACAGATATTACATAGATGAAGGGAGTGCTGAAAAGTTATCAGCCCAAAAGCATCACAATATTTTTATAAGGGCTCTTAAACATGCCAAGAAATTTTCTGCACACATGCTAAAACTAAAATGAAATTACAAAAGTTGTACAAGTGTTTAAATATCAAACATTAATTTTAAAAATCAAGTTAAAAAAAATTATTTATAATATCAGATATAAATTAGTGTATTTGCTAGTAGAAATTATATAAAATATTAGAATTTCAAATTGTATAGTTATTATCCATACATAAATAAGAACTAATTCCAATTTCATTTAATATCTGGAATGTCTAATTCTAAAATTTGGTGTTTCAGACAAATTATTGAGACTAGCAGAACAAACCAGATTTTTATATTTCCTTGATATAAAGCAATGATTAGCAAGCAACTCTCACAATCTATTGCTCCAATATTGTCAGTTAAAGCTTTGTGTCAGACTAAGCAAACATTAGTAAATTTATACAAAGTGCAGCAGAAATACATACCACATAATGGTAAGACATTAGTGTCAATGATAAAGTCTTACCATCATG